TTGTTAACAAAATGCAGGTCCCAAGGACAAACCCTATTGAAATTTGTGAGAATCGGTTCAAATTTAAATATAGCTCCCATAAATATCTTCAACCGATTTTGGATTAATTGTGCACCAAATGGCCAATATCAGTTCAAATGACCTGAATTAGTACATCCCACTGAATCCAGTCTGAAAGCAAGTACATAAAATTTCAGATATAGCTATAGCTCACATTTGTAATATTCATTCGACAACAATGATATTTGGAACCAGATGGCTAATGTCCAATATCAACCCAAAGGGAGTGAATTTCGGGACGTACGATCCTATTTTATGGAACTCGGTCCGATATATAATTTGTATACCCTCCACCATAGTATGGAGGGTATATTAAGTTTGTCATAATACACATTTGAAGATAGATATATATATTGGCTCCGATATATCGGCTCTGAAATAGTTGAAATTTACATTCAACAGAAGAAGTCAATTGTGAAAAAAATGTGAGAAGTGCGCCTTCTGCGCCCGTACAACATTCAATTGACGCAAAGAATGTTGAATGGGCCCAAAAGCCCTTTACTAAATACCTCCCTTTTTCCCGTATTTTAGTGATTTAGGCATTATTAGACATTATTCACCAGAAATATTTCAAACTTTTTATTTGAAGTTCGTAATGGATACTACAGCCTAAGACAGAAAATTGTGTGTGCAGGTTTACGTCTTCGTATAGCCCCCATACAACGGTACCTTCCGATATTCGGTATTTTGGTGATTTTAGCGACATTATTCACCGGAATTATTTTAAATTTGGTATTTAAAGCTGGTAAGGGATACTACAGCCTATGACAAAAAATTGTCTGTGCAGGTCTACGTCTTCGCATAGCCCTTAAATAACGGTTTCCTATATAGGTCAACGTCGTCGTATAGATTCTAATGTAATGGCTGCATTCGGATTTTTTAAGGTTTTAACATAATTTTTAGCGGATATTTTTTTAAAAATTGCCAAAATCGTTATAAATGGTGGAGGGTATTCAAAGATCAGCCCGGTCGAACTTACAGCTTTTTTATTGTTTTAATATAATCCTTCTGGAAGTGATATCATACGCTCCATAGCAATTTTTTTGATATAGAAGATTAAAATGAAAATCCGGTGAAAATCGATTGAAAATTGAATATGCCTCCCATATTAGTTCCCTCTGAAACCAAGCTATAACTGCTCTAAACCAAATGTTCATAGGTGGTATAATCTACTTCAAATAAGTTGTTTTGTTACGGGAGCTCTACCAATATGCATGTAGTGTAGGCCCCGCCCGACTTTTAAATTTTCCTAACTAGTTTGTTTGGTTGTTTGTTTGTAATTTATGGACTCGAAAGCCGCTGAACAGATTTTTCTGAAAATTTCCAAGTATACTGCAATATCGAGGTAACTCCAAAAAAAATTAATTTTACGAGTATATGCACATATCTATTGATGTATTACACCGAACACTTTATATTTCTCCAATTTCAATAAAATCTGGAAATAAATTTGTAAATTATATTGAAATCGGTACAGATTTGCATATAGTTCCTACATAAATTTTTCGACTGATTCCTTATGCACCAAACACGCTATGTATGTCAAATTTCAATTAAGTTTGGAATTTGCCTAGCTATGCTAAGAGTACAAAACTACACAGCAACCTAATTGAGTTGATATGTATTGCTACCTAGAATCCCTCCAATAGCTACAACAATGCCGTTTAACTTAAATATATTGCAGTTTCCTATACGGTTGGCATTTGCTCTAACATTTAATGACATGCGGACTAAATTTAATATTTTCCTGCTTTTCCCATGGTCAGCTGTATGTGGAATGTTTATGTGAGGGTAGAGGTCTACCGATCAATTTTATTGTTTACAGCAAATACGTTTTTTTAAATTCTTGAATACGTTTTAATTTTATTTAAAAATTACAAAATATTTGTATATAAAATTTTGAATGTATGTAAAAGCAAAAGGGGCAGCAAAGTTCACAGGGTTCAGCTAGTTTTCTAGAAAAAAATTGGACATGGTCAAATAATAGCTTGAAAGATATCCTGGGTTCTTCCGACATAATTGACTTTTTAACACGCTACTATTAATCCATTTTTGGCAAGGGTTACGATGATTTGCCCTTATAATGTATGTAAATCTTAACAATTCATCGCCATGGAAACGTAAAACATAACATAATTTTCTACATAGTATATTACTCACAAATTTATTTGAATTTAAATTTATCGTTCAATAAATTGATAAATCATTTCTTGAACGATAGGTTCCTAGAAATACATATTTTAACGGAAATGTAATAGTTCAGTATGTACGCTTTAACGGACATATAAATCTTTATTTTATTATTAATTTTATTATTAATTGCTGGATAGTTTGACAATCACCTCGTCACGTTTTCAGCCTACTTTTCTCTTGGCAAGAATCATCATATGATTATTTTACTTTATTCAGTAAAAGAGACATTTTGTAAAACTTGGCAATACTTTTTGTATCAATGCCGCAAAAGCTTTTTTGGAAATGACTACAGGTGTTTGTTTATAAGCTACTCTAGTAGCAGAGATTAAAAGAAAAAAAGAAAAAAAAGAACGAGAGAGAGAGAGAAAGATACAACACGAGAGTTACAAAGTGTGGTGAATTCCGCTGATACAACCCCAAAGATACATAAATAAACAAAACCTCTTCTCAATATATAATTGAAAACAACTTGTACGAGTCTGCTGCGAGCAGTCCTGTTGATGTTATACAAACACAGCGCAACACATGATAAAGGATATGTATTGAAATATTTGTTGGTTTTGTTGTCGTTATTGTTGTTGGCAATATATAAATGGCAGCTGGTGAAAGAAAGGAGAACTAGAAAGAGAGAGAGTCTTTACTGGAGATGGTACTAAGTGTGATGATTTTAATATTTTCCCATAATTATTTTTTTTATTATTCTTTTAATCTTTGCATGACTAGGCATTGCTGATTCATAGGATATGAAAAAATCGTTTCAACATTAAAGAATTACCGGTCTGGTTTTCTAAAGGATTGTGACATATACATGTTCCGTCTACAATGTTGTCACTGCCTCAAAATAATGAAAAGCTTATCAGTCCAATAAAATGCAAAGAATGGGGTATATAAAAGCAGAGCTATTGAATTGATTATGTTTTCCGTACACGTGAAATCAGTGATGGAAAATTTACTTTTTGTGTGTTACTTTGTGTGTGTTTTGTTACTTTACAAGCCCGTTCTCAGTTTCAATGTTAATGTGTTTGTATTAAGTATAATATTTTACTATCCTGTTAATCGAGTTTCTTACACTAAGCCATACAATTAAGGTTATTTTAAATTTGTCATTCCGTAACATCTTGAAATATTCATGGGAGACCCTATAAAGTATATATATTCTTCATCAGCACGAAAGTCCATAACGATTTATGCGTGTTGTCTGTGGAATCTTCAAAAGAGCTAATCCTTTTTATACCCTACACCACATGGTGGTAAGGGTATAATGTTTTTTGCATTTGCTTGTAACATGGAGAAGGAAGCGAGATAGATTCATAGTTACTTTTGGGGATATTCATAGAATCACTTTCTGAATCGATTTATGCACGTTAGTCTTTCCGTCTGACCGTCCATGTATTTTTGTGAATAAAATGCAGGTCGCATTTATTATCCGATTGAGATGAAATTTTCCAAACAATATTTGTTTGGCCCAAGGACGAACCCTACTGAAATTCGTGACAATCGGATCGGATTTAGATACAGCTCCCATATATCTTCAATTTCGGGTTAATTGTGCATTAAGTGGCCAATATAAGTCGAAATGACCTGAATTTAGGCACATCCAACCGAATTCAGTCTTGAAGCAAGTACGACAAATTTGGTATAATTTCAAATTTGATATAGCTATAGCTCCCATGTACATGTTTCATCCGATTTGGTGTTTAAGTCCCTCACATTCGAAATATGCACTCGACAACAATGATATTTGATACCAAATATCTTATAGATCTCGGGAATACCTTTTGTCAAATTTTATTGTGATCGGCTAAGATTTGGGGATAGCTCCCATATATATCCTTCATCCTTCATAAGTTCATTGTACAAACAATGGCTAATATCGGCCCAAATGAAGTGAATTTCGGGACGTACGTTTCTATTCTGTGGAACTCGGTTCCGATATATATTTTTATACCCTCCACCATACTATGGAGGGTATATTAACTTTGTCATTCCGTTTGTAACTCATCGAAATACTCATATTAGACCCAACAAAGGAATTACATTCTGTGACAGAAAATTGTCTGTGCAGGTCCAGGTCTTCGTATAGGCCCCATATATCAGTACCTCCATATATTCGGTATTTTGACGATTTTAAGTACAATACCCACCGAAATTGTTTAAGATGTGGTATTTGAAGTTCGTAATGGATGCTACAGCCTGTGACAGAAAATTGTCTATGCTGGTCCAGGTCTTCGCACAGCTCCGATATAACGGTACCTCTCTATATACGATATTTTGATGATGTTAGCTACATTATTCCCCATTTATTTCAAGTTTCGAATTTGAATATGGTAATGGCTTATGACAAACAATGCCTATGTAGGCCCACGTCGTATACACCTCAATATAACGGCTATATTTGGTATTTTAAAAATTTTAACAGCATTTTTTAAGGATTTTATTTTTTGAAAATTTCCAAATTCGTTCCAAATGGTCAAAGTTCGGCCCGGTCGAACTTACTGCTTTTTAAATTGAAATAAAAATGTTCCACTTTAGTACCTCATGAACAATTCTAATTTCCCTTCCTTAACAAAAGCTAACTAAACTTACATATTTATGCTTTTTATGGAAAACAAAAGCCGAGTGCGTAAATGGGAGAGAGAGAGTGAGAGAGCAACCGAATATGAGCATCACAACAATACACATTTTCCCACAACAATGTAAAAGGACTTGTGATAGAATTTTATCATCAGTTCGTGGTGGAGTTTTGAGCGTTACGGTCGTGCATAGAAACGGTAGCGGATACAAAATTCCTTCAAACGGTGGTCTCCATGTCTCCATAGAGACAATCAGACATTCATTCAATTGTGAAGGAATTCCAACAGAGTTGTGGCTGCAGAAATTTAATAAAAAAGCAACAGCAAGAACAACAACAATAATAGAAAGATTAAAGCCCAAAATTAAAGTGCGTTTGTGTGATGGTATAATTTTGTTGTTGTTGTTTTTTTTCCTCTCTAAGATATATTGTTGGTATTGCTGGCATTTTGCTGGTGTTATGTTTGCTTTGTGTGTGTGTGTGTGTGCGAAGTTATGTGTAACAATTTATTGTCTATTTGTTGATAACAATGGTGTTGATGATTGCTGCCTAAGCGACGTTGGAGTTGGTGATGATGATGAAGATGACGATTTCAAATAAATAAAATATTAACCTACCACCCCAATAGAAGTTCAAATATTTACTTGGAAGTAATAAGAAAAGTTTCGGGCGAAAAGCTTCTGCAAGAGCATTAATACCAACAACAATAGTGCCAGCAATAAAGAACGCAAAACCAAATCAAGACGTAAAAGAAAGTAAAAGTTCCCATTTGATATGATGCGGAGGTGTGTGAGTGCGTGTGTACGTGTGTCTACGATATTGGTTTTATGCAAGTGGACGACTGTGTGTGTATATCCATGCACACTCGCACACACATGTATGGACCACACAGGCCATTGAAGCCCTTTGCCTCTTTTTTGCCCATTGATACGCAAATTCATTGATACGTGTGTGTATGTATTGGTGCGTGTGTGTGTGCGCGTCTCGGTCCACCAATACAATGCTGCCTGCTAAACGAAAGTGATTTTCTATTCCTTTAAAGTCCTTGAGCGAAAAGTGGAAAATGCAAGAAATATAAACAAAGAAAGAAAATTGATACTTGGATAAAAATCAAGATGAACAACAAAAGAAAAAAACTTCCACCCTTCCTTGTCCAAACCCGAAAAACTTCCAAATTTTTCTTTTCTTCATCACAGGACTTACGTAAATATATAAAACGAAAGACAATATAAAAATCAGTTTTGCTTTGCCTGCAAACAGGAAATTCTTGGAAATTGATTTAGCTGAAATCCTCTGTGTGTGCATGGCAGCCAGAACTCCCTCACACCAATTAAGCAACAACAGATTTTGACTTTTGAACTTTAGCGCCATATTTTATTCGACATTGTCCATTTGATGATAATGAAGAAGAAGGACACTTGTTTTCAAGTGTCCTTCAATTTGAAGCAATTGTAGAGTGCATTATCATGCACATAAATTGTCTGGGATAAACAATAAATTATTTTGAAACCCAACTGCAACAACAACAACAACAATCGGTATCCGCACAAAAATATTTATTCCCCCAGTTAGCTCTTATTGTCACAATTGTACATTTGCTCGCTCGCTCTCTACCTCTCTCTCTCTCTATCTTTCTCTTGTTCGCTTGTTGTGTCTCGCTTGTCATTGCTCTTGACATTTGAATTTTCGTTACAGGTTGTTTTTCTATTGCCAGTTGGTAATGAAAATTTCCGCTTGCTCCATTTCCTGTCATAGATAATACAATGTATATGTGTTGGTTTGCGTGTGTGTGTGTCCCACAACAAATTTTCAGAGTTGCCGTTTAATATGGCATGATAAGCCTAAAATGAATGAGGCCTAAAATAATTTTCATGAGCTGATTTAATTTTCATAGAAATAAATATATAAGTTCGGAATCAGGAGCAGCCAGAATATGTTTAATCTTGGACGAAACGTAAACTTTATCAAACAGAGGCGTTCGCAGAGATTTCTTGTACCGAATCGCCATCCGAATGGATTTCTTTTCTTAATTTTTCTTTTTTTATATCCTCAGCCAAAACATGCCTCATCGAAATATCGGTTTCGGACCCTAGGTCTCTGTCCGTCAGTCTGGCTGGTGTGCACGATAACTCTCGAAAGGAGTATCCGATTTGGTTCAAACTTGGTACATCGTAATATTATTGTTAAACTTAGATCGAGGTCGGAGATGGGGAACATCAGTGCAGTCCTTCTGGTACTTCTCCCATAAATGGTAAACATTTTCGAAGAAATTGATTTACCTCATAGAAAAAAAAGGATCATTCAATTTTCCTTAGATTTTTGTCAGTGCTAAGTCAGGTGTGAAATATCGGCCCACTCCACTCCCATACAAATATTTGGAAAAATTATAAATCTAATAAAAATGTGAAATTAGAGTCCGATTGTCTTTAAATTTCACACATCCCAATGTTCTGTTGTAAAGGTTCAAAATTTTGAATAACCAAAACGGTTTTAAAATGTGAAATAGTTCTAAGCTTAACACAATCCATTTTTTTATACCCTCCACCAAAAAAAGTATGGAGGGTATATTAAGTTCGTCATTCCGTTTGTAACTCATCGAAATAATCATTTTAGACCCAACAACCTGTTGTAATCACGCTACAGTCTAAACGAATTAAGATAGGAAGCCAAAATTTTGCACAGATCTCTCTTTTGTCTGCAGGAAGGTCAAGTTCGAAGATAGGCTATATCGGTCCACGATATCGTATAGCCCCCATATAACGGTACCTTCGATATTCGGTATTTTGATGATGTTAGCCACATTTTTCAATGGAATTGTCTGAAAATCCACACAAGTAGTTCCTTGTGGGTACTTAATACCTCGGCAGAGAATTATCTATATAGGTCCACAATATCGTATAGCCTCCATATAACGGTACCCCCCGGTATTCGGCATTTTAATGATTTTCGCCACATTTTTCAATGGAATTGTCTGAAATTCCACAAAAGGAGTCCCTTGTTGGCATTTTACCCCCTAAAATAGAATTGTCTATGTAGGTCCGCGATATCGTATATCCCCCATATAAATGTACCCCCCGATATTCGGTATTTTGATGATGTTAGCCACATTTTTCAATGGAATTGTCTTAAAATCCACACAAGTAGTTCCTTGCGAGTACTTTACCCCCTGAGAGAGAATTATCTATACAGGTCCACGATATCGTATATCCCACATATAACGTTACCTCCGATATTCGGTATTTTGACGATTTTACCCACATTTTTCAACGGAATTGTCTGAAAATCCACACAAGGAGTTCCTTGTGGGTACTTTATACCTCGGCAGAGATTTATCTATATAGGTCCACGATATTTTATAGCCCCCATATAACGGTACCCCCGATATTTGGTATTTTGATGGTTTTATCCACATTTTTCAATGGAATTGTCTGCAATTCCACAAAAGGAGTCCCTTGTGGGCATTTTACCCCCTCAAAAAGAATTGTCTATATAGGTCCACGATATCGTATATCCCCCATATAACTGTACCCCCCGATATTTGGTATTTTGATGATGTTAGCCACACTTTTCAATGGAATTGTATTAAAATCCACACAAGTAGTTCCTTGTGAGTACTTTACACGCAGACATAGATTTGTCTTTATAGGTCCACAATATCGTATATCCCCCCATATATCGGCACCTTTCTATATTAGATATTTTAAAGATTTTGAAAGAATTTTTAATGGATTTTATTTTTTTGAAAATTTTCTAATTCGTTCCAAATGGTGGAGGGTATTCAAAGTTCGGCCCGGCCGAACTTACTGCTTTTTTACTTGTTAATGTTACATTTTTGCCGGTTAGGCCGCATATTATTAGTTCTTATTACGATTATGCCACATTTTTTGTGTAGCCCCATGAAAGGACTGTCCGATTTTAAGATTTTTTATGTTTTGCCAAATTTTCATAAAGTACTATCTGAAATTTGGTATTTGGGGTTCCTATTGACAAGTTGACGTCCATAAACTCTGCACAAACAACCAGTAAAGATATTTTAAAATTCGGCGGCCGACTACGTGGCACCCTTTACCACTAGCAGTTTTAATTTGGAATCAGAGGGTACTTATATTTGGGAAATATATCCAATCCAAGGAATTTGACTTCTCATACCAAATATCATTGTTATAGAGTGCATGATAGGACTTCTAGAAGGTTAAAATTAAAATAAATATTGGTATATATTTTTATTGATTGTTGTACTAAATGTTGTATTTGCTTCCATTATAAATTTGATATTACATATTTATTACACAATTTCCATGAAATCATGTACAATTATATATGTAAGCTATAGCTAAATCTAAACCGATCTCAGTAAAATTTGGCATAGCTATTTCTGAGCTGTATCTGATATATTCTACCAAATAATATTGTTTTTGAGTGTATATTACGAATTTGAGGGACTAAAACCCATTGGACGAAACATATATGTCGGAGATGTAGCTATATCTGAACCGATTTTCACCAAATACTTCTAGGCTGAATTCGGTCGTATGTTCAATAAACCACCCCATTTGGGGTACAATAAACAAAAAACCGGATAAAAATATATTCGGGAGCTATGCCCAAATCTGAACCGATATTGATGAAATTTGACAAAGGTATTTCTGGGGTGTATCTTACATCTGGTTCGAAATATAATTTTTGTGGATAGCATATTACGAATGTGAGGGACTTAAAACTCAGATCAAATGAAGTATACAGGGTGAGATAAAAAAACTGCAACAAAGTCAAACGCCACAATTTTTATATTTAAATTTTTTTGAATGAAAGCAAAAAATTTCGGAAATAGCAACAAATTTTAAAATAAGTTTAGATTTGTTCCAATTGGTCACCTTTGGCACGAATTATGGCCTTCAAACGGACCACGCCACCACGCTGCCCGAATGTTGCTCTGCGGTATTTTGGACCATTCCCGGAGAAGCGCTTGCTTGATGTGATCGACACGTTGGTATTTTCTAGTGCCAACCTTACTTTCCAAAATACTCCAGGCACAATAGTGCCACGGATTGGTATCCGGAGATTTTGGTGGTTATTGTGCACTGGAAATGAAACGAGGAACCTTATTTTGTAACCATTCTTGGGTGGCGCTTGCTGAGTACGATGGTGCTGAGTCCTGTTGGAATGTCCTAGGTCGGCGGCCAAAATGTTTGCGTACCCAAGGCTTTAATACACCCTCCAGAATATTTTTGCGATAATATTCGGCATTAATTCTAATGCCACGGTCGATTAATATGAGCGGAGAGCAACAATCGGGTGTTATGGCGGCCCACAACATCACCATGGCCGGCGCTTGAGTTCTGGTGGCCAACCAAAGATGCACATTTTCA